TTTTTGTTTTTTTTTTTAATGTGTTGTCTTCACTGTTCATTAACAAAAATCTGATGCTTTCATTGTTCATTTAAAGAAAAATTGTGGCGCTTTTATTATGCAATAAAAAAAAGTGCAATGCTTTCATTTTTCATTGATGAACAAAATGTAATTGTGCATTAAAAATATGGTAAATTATGGTGTTTTCATTGTTCATGAAAGAATTATGGTGGTTTCAGTGTTTAGGAAAACAAAATTGTACTTTTCATTGTGTGATAATTATGCTGCTTTCATTAATAAAAAAAAATTGTGCTACTAATATTGTGATAATAAAATTGTGGTGCTTTCAGCATTTAGGAAAATAAAATTGTTCTTTCATTGTGTGATAAAATTGTGGTGCTTTCATTGTAATAAAATTGTGGGTGTGATAATAAAATTGTGGTGCTTTCAGCGTTTGGGAAAACAAAATTGTTCTCTCATTGTGTGATAATTGTGGTGTTTTCATTCTTTAATAAAAACAAAATGTGGTGCTTAAATTGTGATAATAAAATTGTGGGGATTTCATTGTGTGATAATAAAATGGTGGTGCTTTCATTGTAATAAAATTGTGGTGCTCTCAGTGTGATAATAAAATTGTGGTGCTTTCATTGTAATAATAAAATTGTGGTGCTTTCATTGTAATAATAAAATTGTGGTGCTTTCAGTGTGATAATAAAATTGTGGTGCTTTCATTGAGTGATAATAAAATTGTGGCGCTTTCAGTGTTTAGGAAAACAAAATTGTACTTTCATTGTGTGATAATTATGCTGCTTTCATTAATAAAAAAAAATTGTGGTACTTACATTGTGATAATAAAATTGTGGGGATTTCATTGTGTGATAATAAAATTGTGTTTTTTTTCATTCTGCGATAATAAAATGGTGGTGCTTTTAGTGTTTAAAAAACAAAATTGTACTTTCATTGTGTGTTATGTTTTCAATGTTTAATAAAAAAAAATTGTGCTTTCATTGTGTGATAATAAAATTGTGGTGCTTTCAGCATTTAGGAAAATAAAATTCTTCTTTCATTGTGTGATAATTGTGTTTAATAAAACAAATTGTGGTGCTTAAATTGTAATAAAATTGTGTGCATTTCATTGTGTGATAAAATTGTGGTTTTTTCATTGTGTGATAATAAAATTATGCTGCTTTTAGTGTTTAGGAAAACAAAATTGCACTTTGTGATAAAATTGTGGTAGTTTCATTGAGTGGTAATATAATTGTGGTGCTTTCAGTGTTTAGGAAAACAAAATTGTACTTTCATTGTGAGATCATTATGGTGCTTTCATTAATAAAACAAATTGTGGTGCTTACATTGTGATAATAAAATTGGGGAGAATTGTGTGATAATAAAATGGTAGTGCTTTCAGTGTTTAGGAAAACAAATTGTACTTTCACTGTGATAAAATTGTGGTGCTTTCCTTGTAATAATAAAATTGTGGTGCTTTCAGCATTTGGGGGGAAAAAAATTGTTTGTTCATTGTGATAATTGTGTTTTCATTGTTTAAAAAAAAAAAATCGTGGTGCTTTAATTGTTATGATAAAAATAGTGGTGCTTTCATTGTGATATTAACATTTTGTTTTTTTTCATTGTGTAATAGAATTGTGGTGCCTTTCAGTATTTTGGAAAACAAAATTGTACTTTGTGATAAAATTGTGGGTCTTTCAGTGTTTAGGAAAACAAAATTGTACATTCATTGTGTGATAATTATGGTGCTTTCCTTAAAAAAAAATTGTGATTACATTTTGATAATAAAATTGTGGTGCTTTCAGTGTTTAGGAAAACAAAATTGTACTTTGTGATAAAAATTGTGGTGCATTCATTGTGATAAAATGGTGGTGCTTTCATTGAGTGATAATAAAATTGTGGTGCATTCATTGTGATAAAATTGTGGTGCTTTCAGCATTTAGGAAAATAAAATTGTTCTTTCATTGTGTGATAATTGTGTTTTCATTATTTAATAAAACAAATTGTGGTGCTTAAATTGTGATAATAAAATTGTGGGGATTTCATTGTGATAATAAAATTGTGGTGCTTTCATTAAGTGATAATAAAATTGTGGTGCTTTCAGTATTTAGGAAAACAAAATTGTACTTTCTTTGTGTGATAAAATTGTGGTGCTTTCAGTATTTAGGAAAACAAAATTGTACTTTGTGTGATAATTGTGTTTTTCATTGTTTAATAACAATTGCGGTGCTTAAATTGTGGTAAAATTGTGGGGATTTCATTGTGATAATAAAATTGTGGTGCTTTCAGTGTTTAGGAAAACAAAATTGTACTTTCATTGTGATAAAATTGTGGTGCTTTCATTGTGATAAGAAAATTGTGGTGCTGAAAGCATTTAGGAAAATAAAATTGTTCTTTCATTGTGATAATTGTGTTTTCATTGTTTAATAAAACAAATTGCGCTTAAATTGTGATAAAATTGTTGGGATTTCATTGTGATAAAAAAAAATTGTGGTGTTTAGGAAAACAAAATTGTACTTTCATTGTGATAAAATTGTGGTGCTTTTATTGTGATAATAAAATTGTGGTGCTTTCAGTATTTAGGAAAACAAAATTGTACTTTCATTGTGATAAAACTGTGGTGCTGCTTTCATTGTGATAAGAAAATTGTGGTGCTGAAAGCATTTAGGAAAATAAAATTGTTCTTTCATTGTGATAATTGTGTTTTCATTGTTTAATAAAACAAATTGCGCTTAAATTGTGATAAAATTGTTGGGATTTCATTGTGATAAAAAAAATTGTGGTGTTTAGGAAAACAAAATTGTACTTTCATTGTGATAAAATTGTGGTGCTTTTATTGTGATAATAAAATTGTGGTGCTTTCAGTATTTAGGAAAACAAAATTGTACTTTCATTGTGATAAAACTGTGGTGCTTTCATTTAGGAAAATAAAATTTGTTCTTTCATTGTGTGATAATTGTGTTTTCATCGTTTAATAAAACAAATTGTGGTGTTAAATTGTGATAATAAAATTATTGGGATTTCATTGTGATAAAAAAAATTGTGGTGTTTAGGAAAACAAAATTGTACTTTCATTGTGTGATAAAACTGTGGTGCTTTCATTTAGGAAAATAAAATTGTTCTCTCATTGTGTGTGTAATTGTGTTTTTCATTGTTTAATAAAAAAAATTGTGGTGCTTAAATTGTGATAATAAAATGGTGGTGCTTTCAGCGTTTAGGAAAACAAAATTGTACTTTCATTGAGTGATAAAATTTTGGTGCTTTCATTGTTTAATAAAAAAAAAATGGTGGTGCTTACATTGTGATAATAAAATGGTGGTGCTTTCATTGTGATTTTTTTTTTTTCATTGTGTGATAATAAAATTGTGGTGCTTTTAGTGTTTAAAAAAACAAAAATTGTACTATCATTGTGATAAAATTGTGGTGCTTTCATTGTGATAAAATTGTGGTGCTTTGTGTTTAGGAAAACAAAATTGTACTTTCATTGAGTGATAAAATTTTGGTGCTTTCATTGTTTAATAAAAAAAAAATGGTGGTGCTTACATTGTGATAATAAAATGGTGGTGCTTTCATTGTGATAAATTTTTATTTTTCATTGTGTGATAATAAAATTGTGGTGCTTTTAGTGTTTAAAAAAAAAAAATTGTACTATCATTGTGATAAAATTGTGGTGCTTTCATTGTGATAATAAAATTGTGGTGCTTTGTGTTTAGGAAAACAAAATTGTACTTTCATTGTATGATAAAATTGTGGTGCTTTCAGTATTTAGGAAAACAATTGTACTTTCATTGTGATAAAATTGTGGTGCTTTCAGCATTTAAGAAAATAAAATTGTTCTTTCATTGTGTGATAATTGTGTTTTCATTAATAAAAAAAAATGGTTGTGCTTAAATTGTGGGGATTTCATTGTGATAAAATTGTGTTTTCATTGAGTGATAATAAAATTGTGGTGCTTTCAGCGTTTCGGAAAACAAAATTGTACTTTCATTGTGATAATAAAATTGTGCTTTCAGTATTATACAGGATTTATATAGCTCCAACAGTTTGCTCAGCGCGGTTTAGGAAAACAAAATTGTCCTTTGTGTGTGATAATAACATTGTGGTGCTTTCATTGTGATAAAATTGTGGTGCTTTCAGAGTTTAGGAAAACAAAATTGTATTTTCATTGTGTGATAAAATTGTGGTGCTTTGAGTGATAAATTGCTTTTTTTTCATTGTGATAAATTGTGCTTGGATTGAAAAAAAAGTTTTCATTGTGTGATAAAAAAAAAAACCAATGGTGATTCTTTTAAGTGGTGCTTTTGGTGAATTAAAATGATTGTGGTTGCTTAAAAAAAAAGGTTTTCAATGTTAAAAAATGTGCTTTCCTTGATTAAAAAAAAAAGCCCGCGTTGTGCCCGTGCACATGATGTAAAGCATGCTGCCATTTCTGCCCCGATCACAGCCCCAATACAAGTATCCATGGCGGGAGGTGTAGAGGAAATGTAGCCGCATGCAGCTGCAGAGTGACCACGTATAGCACGGCGCCCCGACACCTCCACTGCACTATACCGGGAGGTCGGCCATGAAGCGTTCCCTGTCCGCCATGATCAGCCCCGAGCCTTCCTGGAAGTCCTGCCCGTCCTGTACACTACTACAAGGCGGAGTCTCTTCTCACACGCGGCCTATACACTGCACGCTCCCTGATCCTAGTACAGACAAGAGCCCCGAGTGTTGTGGTATATCGCCCTCCTCTACACACTCCTATGTCCCTACACTGCCTACTCGGGCCTACAACCTCCAGCCCAGTCTACAGAACCGCTCCATGACCTATCGACACAGCATCTCACTGAAGGCGCAAGCGGGAGCGCGCACGTTTATATCCCCATGACGTCCGCACGTAGAAGGCGGAAGTCTCTCCACGCTCCGTGCCCCTGTATGACACGGAGGGGAGGGGCGGTGACGTGTGTCGGTTGTCAGGCTGGACTGTCGTTGGCTTCCCCACCCTAGAGACGGAGATGGCGGCCGCTCTGGCGATGTCGTCCCCGCAGCATGCCCCTCCCGAGGAGTCAGAGGCAGGGGACGGGGCGGTGGAGGACGGGGAGGCCGAGGTGTTCGTGTCGGAGAGTCACTGTTCGGAGCTGGCCTGGCGGCAGAACGAGCAGAGGAAACAAGGCCTGTTCTGTGACATGACTCTGGTGTTCGGGGGAGGAGGCCGGGAGTTCCCTGCTCACCGCTCCGTGCTGGCCGCCGCCACCGACTACTTCGCCCCGCTGCTGTCCGGACAGTTCGAGGAGTCGCGCTCCGGGCGGGTGGAGATGAAGTGGAGCTCGGAGCCCGGACCGGACCTGGAGACAGTGGAGGCGGTGATCCAGTACATGTATACCGGTCAGATCCGGGTGTGTACCGGCAACGTACATGAGGTGCTGGAGCTGTCCGACAGGTGAGGATCTCCACCATCCCTCTGAACAGCGACCCCTGCTCAGATCACTTTTCAGAGGTGGTTGAAAGGGGGTAACCCCATTTTTTCTGATTAACATACTGCACGCCACACAAGTGTGGGCCAATGGCTTCCATTCACCCCAGGAGGCCTCCACCCGCCAACCACTACCTGGCCTGTAGGTTTGAAGCAATACATTGTACACATCCCTGTACCCTGCCTAGGTGGGGGGTAAATACACAGTTCACCAGCGCCCAAATCACACATCTGAAGGTATCCTGATGGCACGGAGGGCTGGCAAGGCTACATTCACACGGAACCTTTACAGACATGTTGGGGTGCCCTAATGGCCCCCACATCACAGCCCACGCAGGAGATTACATGTATGAACCTGCATGGTGCCCCAGCCCTGGGCTGCTCTGCGGTGCTGCAAGTCCCTGTCTCAGTCCCTAGGTTCACACCTGTGCAGCTTGTGTTTTGAGCTGTTTCTACATTATGTTTGGTGTTGTTGATGCTTTTCCCTTTTTTTGTTTTTTTTTTCTTGTTGCTAAGCAGATTTAAAACACAATACATGCTTTTCTGCAGCATTTCTATTGAAGTCTATAGAATCAAAGATGCAACTTTTTTGCGTTCGAAAAAATCCCTGAAACTTTCCAAAAAACGCCCCGGGTGAAAACGCAGAGATGTGAACGTGTTCATAGGGAATCATGTTAGTTGGACTGTACTGTGTTTCTACAGAACACTTCAGAAAACGCTTGTGTGGGTGTGAACCTAGGGTGATGCAGGGTTGGAGATCTGACAGGTGGTGCTGGGGAACCACTTCTTGCTGGGGGGGAGAAGGGGTTTAGGGTTGGGGGCCCACTTGGGAGCACATTCTAAAAATGTGGCCGTAAAGGTGGAACTAAACCCATCAATTTAAAGCAGAACTACAGAAAATCAAATATGTCCCCATGTAGTGGGGCTGTGCCTGCACCACAGGGGTTAACTGCTCGTTCTGTCTAGGGGCCCACACAGCGCTTATACTTACCCCATCCTTTGGAAAATGGCGCTCCCCCATGTCTAGCATTGGACCATTCCTGCCATCCTCACATCCAGAGCCGGACTATGGGTGCGATGACATCAGGAATAGTCCATCGCACAGACTGCTAGAATGCGGGGGACAGGAGCAGTAGGGACCTGGGTGGATTGGGGGGGAGTACATCTCCGCTCTACAATCCCATAGACAACAATGAGCAATTAAAGTGTAACTAAACCCACAACAGTAAAATCAGTCTGTAAATGCAGGAAAGCATGTTTGTTATACTCACTGTGGAACCTAAGGGGTTAATCCTCTGCATTGTGTAAAAAGGATGGTTGATCCTGTCTTCTCTGATCCTCCCCTTCTACTGTCCCCAATCCATCTTCTGATAATACAGAGGTCTAGGAGACACTGCACATGTGAGAGTGCATGTGATCAGCATAGGACCAATCAGCACTGTCCAGACAGAGGTCAGGGGATCTGCATCTTCCTAGAGCAAAATGAAAACTCCTCCTACAAGCTTTAACCAGTGCTCAGCTGGACACTGATAGAAGTCACAAGACTGCTCTAACTGCTGATAAGGAAAGATATTTAGCAGTTTATATTTACTAAAATAATTGCTTTTCCATGTTGTGTGTACTGTGGAAGACCGGATATAGTGAATGCAGGGTCCGGGGTTTAGTAACACTTTAATTCTACGCCCTAGTCGATGCACCTAGTTCAATATGAGAAGCAACTACACTGAATCCATGTGATGGATGGACTGCCTTTATGTTCCCCATCCCTAGATCATTACATGCTGTGGTTGGGTTCTCTACCCTTCAAAGCCCAACCCCACCGCATGGGGGGAAAAATCCAGAGCTCTTCTTTAATGGTTTCCCAAAACTATTGCATTCAAGGCAGGCTGTGGATAACTGTCACAAGTGACAGTTCAACATAACTGTCAAACCCTCAAATGGCTGTTGTCATAACTGATCACATGTGCAGCACCATGGCAGTTGCAGAGCCTACAGAGGGTAAGATGGCAGCTTCCTTAGCTGTAAAGGATAGGAGGGTTTAGTTCTGCTTTAAACAGTGCTAACCCCTTCCTGTCACCCCCTCCCAGCCCTTTAAAAGGTTGTAAATGCTGGGAGGTGGAGGCGGGCATTCCAATCAGGTGACCACTGTGATTGGCAGTCACATGATCAGAAAGCTCCTAAATGCAAGTATGCATCAGGAGCTTTCCACTACCCACTGGGTATTGTGTTGGGGGCGCACTCTCAGCACAGGAAAGTGTTTACATAGGGACACACATAAGTGGTCTCTCAGCATTAAAGCCCACCCACCATGAGGCCACTTACATGCAAACGGACACGGGAAGAGGTTAAGAGTTATAGGTATTGATAACAAATGTAACCAAGAGAAGGTAGATCTAAGAGCTAGATGGTTTTTTGTTTTTTTTTTAAGCTTTTATTAAACTAAGGCTGGCCACACATTATACAATTTTCCTTTAGATTTACTAAAACCATATAATAGGACATCAAACCTAAACACTTTGAATTTGTATGTAATCAAGCAGGCCCTTGCACTACAGTGGGGATCGAAAGTTTGGGCACCCCAGCTAAAAATTTGTATTAATGTGCATAAAGAAGCCAAGGAAAGATGGAAAAATCTCCAAAAGGCATCAAATTGCAGATTAAACATTCTTATAATATGTCAACAAAAGTTAGATTTATTTCCATCATTTACACTTTCATAATAACAGAAAACAAAAAAATGGCGTCTGCAAAAGTTTGGGCACCCTGCAGAGTTAATATCTTGTACTGCCCCCTTTGGCAAGTATCACAGCTTGTAAACGCTTTTTGTAGCCAGCCAAGAGTCTTTCAATTCTTGTTTGAGGTATCTTTGCCCTTTCTTCCTTACAAAAGTCTTCCAGTTCTTTGAGATTTCTGGGCTGTCTGTCACGCACTGCTCTTTTCAGGTCTATCCATAGATTTTCAATTATGTTGAGGTCAGGAGATTGTGAAGGCCATGGCAAAACCTTCAGTTTACGCCTCTTGATGTAATCCCCCGTGGATTTTGAGGTGTGTTTAGGATCATTATCCATTTGTAGAAGCCATCCTCTCTTTAACTTCAGCTTTTTCACAGATGGCATCAAGTTACTATCCAAAATTTGCTGAAATTTTATTGAATCCATTTTTCCTTCTACTCGTGAGATGTTCCCTGTGCCGCTGGCTGCAACACAACCCCAAAGCATGATTGATCCAACCCCATGCTTAACAGTTGGACAGAGGTTCTTTTCATTAAATTCTGTGCCCCTTCTTCTCCAAACGTACCTTTGCTCATTCCTGCCAAAAAGTTCAATTTTAACCTCATTGGTCCACAGAACTTGTTTCCAAAATGCTTTAGGCTTGTCTATATGTTCATTTGCAAAGTTCAAACGATGATTTTTGTGATGAGGACGTAGAAGAGGTTTTCTTCTGATGACTCTTCCATGAAGACCATATTTGTACAAGTATCTCTTTATAGTGGAATAGTGTACCACAACTCCAGTGTCTGCCAGATCTTTCTGGAGGGATCGTGCAGTCAAACGTGGGTTTTGAATTGTTTTTCTCACAATCCTGCGAGCTGTTCTGTCTGATATTTTTCTTGGTCTTCCAGATCTTGCTTTAACTTCCACTGTTCCTGATGACTGCCATTTCTTAATTACATTCCGAACAGAGGATATTGACATCTGAAAACGCTTTGCTATCTTCTTATAGCCTTCTCCAGCTTTGTGAGCGTCAACTATTTTCAGTTTCATTTTCTAGACAACTGCTTCGAAGAACCCATGGTGCTGATTGTTGGGGCAAGGTCAGATGAGTCTGGGCATTTAAAACCTTTGAGATTGACATCACCTGGTCTTCCCAGACGATGATTGAGAACAATCCATGACACTGGCAGGTCTCAGCTTGGCAAAGTGGGCAGTGCATGCTATAAATTCTGCAGGGTGCCCAAACTTTTGCAGAAGCCATTTTTTGGTTTCCTGTTATTTTGAAAGTGTAAATGATGGAAATAAAATCTAACTTTTGTTGACATATTATAAGAATGTCTAATCTGTAATTTGATGCCTTTTGGAGATTTTTCCATCTTTCCTTGGCTTCTTTATGCACATTAATACAAATTTTTATCTGGGGTGCCCAAACTTTCGATCCCCACTGTACATAGTTGACGGTAAATCTAAAAGAATTTGAATAAGAAAATTTAATGTATGGCCAGCTTAATACATGTTGATCATGGAGGTTATTGTTGAGCCACTTCCTGTCTAAAGAGTGACTACATCTTGTCCCTGTCTCAGTTGAGCTCCTATGTTGTCACCCTGTCACATGATGGAGATTACAAATTGGTTGTAGCAACAGACATAGCACAAAAGTGGTCCATTGATGTGACCATAATGTAGGCCATAGATGATGTGATTTTTGCTCCTGCAACCTTGGGGGGCAGGAAAGAAAATTGCTCAATTCCCCTGTCAACACAGTCAGTGTTGATGGGGGGGGATTCCCTCCTTTAGAGCTGTTGTGTTCTCCCAGCTGGGAGGGAGCCTGGGGAGGGGTCCCTGCTGGGAGAACACCGTGGTTATTGCTAGCAGCTATAGCCATTGGCAATGATCGCATGAAAAATCCGACAGGCTGGTTGTACCCAGGTTGATCAATGGGATTTACAATTGTTCCTACTGCAAGTAATTGCTGGCTATGCAGAGAGCCATGGATAGCAATTGGTGATCACTGCTGGGTACACACAAAATAAACAGAAGATCCTTGCTGCTACAATTCACAAGTTCCAGCTGCCATCTTTGTCTGTCTAGTGAGTGTCTGCCGAAGACGATACAATCATTGGACAGAAGTACAGTTGGCAAGGCTTGGACTGACACAATACCAGAGTGAATGCACAGAAGATATTTTTTTTGTCAGAGAGGTGCACAGAAGATATATATATTTTTTTTTTTTTCTTTTGCTGAATTAACAAGCAATTAGATCATTGATTAAACTATTATTTGATGGAGGAGGAGGAGCTCGCACGCACGGAGTGTGTGAAACAGCTGCTTTGTCCTCACCGAGCAGCCCATGGCGGAAATGCTCCATCCTCCTGCCCAATCACCCGGAGAGCAGAGCACTGACAGCCCACTACACCCCACATTGCCTGACTGAGACAGGGAGTCACCACCGACTTCTGATCCACCTCTTGGATGGAGAACACAGTTGATCCTGCCCAATTACCATCACAGCTTGGCCCACCACACACCCCATGAAATCAAAGTCCCAGGCTTTAGGACAGGAACCACCTCCAATACCCACTCAGTAGAACTCTATTGCCCGACGCTCAGACTGAGAACCCTCCTCCCCAGCCTCAGCTCCAGGCTTGGAGCGTGCGAGGTGGTGTCAGCAGTGAATGGGCTGGCAAAAGCCCAAGACATAGTTTCTAGTCGCCATGGTGACCTGGTACCTGGGATTTCTTGAGCCCTGCAGAAACAGTCAGTAAATTCCACCATGGTGGATTGACTTGCCAGTGTCCAAATCGATCAAACTGAAGGTCTGTACATATATGGCTTATTCAGTTTGCTCATTTAAGGATACGTTCACCTTTAGGAACATGTTACATGTTCCACCCACTTTTATGGTGGTACATGTAAGATGTTCCCATAGCCACAGCTGCCCCCAAAAAGGTCCCAAAAAAGGTAACGGGGGACAATGAGGATTAGAGAGAGCTGTTCAGATTTCCTTGGCAACACAATTATTCACAGCAAGGGTCCCTACTTTGTGGAACTAATCCGAGTGGTTCCCAGTCATGTGATCACTATGACAGCCCTGACCTCTTGATCACATGCAGGCTAAAGGCCCCACTTACAAAAATAAAAACCTTTAACCTGCAGACAAACACTGCCACCAGCAGGCCACAGTGTTCATTTGCAGTGCTATGTATTTGATAGTTCAACAGTTTCACTATTAACCGCTTCCCGACCGCCCAATCGTAGAAATACTGCTACAGGGTGGCACGGGTGCACAAAATCACGTATATATGCATGATTTTGCATTTCTGCGTAGGGGGCACGCATACCCTACCCGCGCCGCCGTTCACCGGGTCCCGACCAGCGATTACTCACCGGTGCCCAGTGATTTCCGAGGATCTCTGATGAGGAGAACTGTTTTGTTTACGAACAGTTCTCCTCCCTGTCAGCTCGGGCACACTGCTTTGAATGGCTGTGCACAGCACAGCCATCCAAAGCAGTGTGCTTACAGTTAAGCACTCGGACACAGCCCCCTAGTAAAACACTCCCAGCACACAGTTAACCCTTTGATCATCCCTCATGTTAACCCCTTCCTGCCCAGTGCCATTAGTACAGTGTCAGACTTTTTTTTTTTAGCACTGATCACTGTATTGGTGTCACTGGGGATGTCCGTGACACCAATTCAGGTTCCCCCAATGTCAGAATGTCCACCGCAGTCCCGCTGCTGATAATCCTACTGATTACTGATAATCCAACTTAATATTTTTCCGATTATCATTCAATCCTTTAAGAAAAACAGTCAAATCAGCTTCAGAACCTGCCCAGATTAGGAACAGGTCATCAATGAACCTCTTGTATAGCAGAATCATGTTTATGACATGTTGCAGAATACATTTATGAATAAATTAGATTTTTTAAAATTTTTACTGGATTTAATAACAAAAAGTAAAAAATTTTTTTTTTTTTCAAAATGTTTTTTTTTTTTTTTTAGTGCAAAAAATGAAAACTGCACAGGCGATCAAATACCACCAAAAGAAAGCTCAATTTGTGGGGAAAAAAGGACATAAAATGAATTGCAGCATTGCATGACCATGCAATTGTCAGTTAAACTAACACAGCGCTGTAACACAAAAATGGCTTGGTCAGGAAGAGGGGTAAATCCTCAGGAGGGCAAGTGGTTAAAAAATAATTAATAAAAATAATTAAAGACAGGGAATAAATATAAATGTTTTGTGTTATAAAAAAAAAAGCAATTTTTTTTTATTATTATTATTTTAAAATTGTGTATGTAATATACCCTTATAACAAAGATTTGGACATGTAATTTAGAAGAAGGAATAGGTGAGCAGTTTGGGAGTACTGGGATAACTGGAGACATAGTACTAGCCAATCAGATTCTCTCATCACTCTGTGATAGAGAATGTGTGCCTACAGAAAAATGTTCTGGGACATTCCCATGCCAATGATGCTGACTCAGGAAAGCTTTTAAGTCACTGTGAGCATCAGTACATCATGTCTTCTAACAGGGTTCTTCATGTATTTTGTGGCTTTCATGATTGAGTCATTGCAAGTCTGTATTCACCAGGGGCAGCAGACATTGAAAGTGAGTTCCAAGAGCAGAAGCTGTCACTGACATTCTGAGGGCAGTTTTTACTTTATACAAATTAACCACTTGCCCTCCGGAAGATTTACCCCCCTCCATTTTTTGCTATCGGCGCAGCACTACTTTGACAATTGTGCAGGCCTTGCATCGTTTTACACAAATTACATTTATATGATTTTTTTCACACAAATAGAGCTTTCTTTTGGTGGTATTTGATCATCGCTGGGTTTTTTTTATTGTTTGCACTATAAACGAAAAAGACCAAACCTTTCTTTTTATTTTTTACTTTTTTCTATAAAATATATCCTATTATGATATAAATACTGGATTGTTTTCTATACTCTTAATGGTGGCGATCAGCAACTTATAGTGGGGGTTGCGATAGTACGGCAGGCAATCTTATACTAAATGACACTTGGTGGTAACTGACTCACTGCCACTGACATACTCCCCTAATACAGTGATCAGTGCTAATAAAAAGCATTGACCCTGTACTAATGACACTGGGCAGAAAAGGGTTAACATCTGGGGCGATCAAAGGGTTAACTGTGTGTTAGGGGGTGATTTAACTGTGTAGGCTTTACTAGGGGACATGCTGGTTTTTATCTCCCTGCTTTGCAGAGAGATAAAAACCAGCATGTCTCGGCTGACCGGAGAGAGATCTGTGTTGTTTACACTCACAGATCCCTCTACTGTCAGTTGCTCCACCAATCACCGAGCGCCAGCCATGAATCACTGCCTGGGACCTGGTGATTGACATCTACAGGAGCCAATGACAATGCGGGTAGGACTGCATGCGCACTCCCCCTACCCAGAAATGCAGAATCACGTGTGTGCCTCATTTACCAGAGTTGGACCAAGTTTGTATGCCCTGTTTAACATTTCATGCTTGTTCTCTGTATTCTTTAGGTTTTTGTTGCTTCGCCTGAAGGAGTTCTGTGGAGAGTTTCTGAAGAAGAAGCTGAACCTCTCAAACTGTGTTGCCATTCATAGTTTGGCTCATATGTATACACTCAACCAGCTAGCTTTAAAATCTGCTGACATGATCCGCAGAAACTTCTACAAGGTAATCGAAGACGATGAATTCTATACACTCCCATTCCATCTTGTAAGAGACTGGCTTTCAGATCCAGAGATCACAGTAGATTCTGAAGAGATACTTTTTGAAGCAATCCTAAAATGGATTCAGAAAAACACGAATGAAAGAGAAAAATATTTTGAGGAATTGTTTAAGCTTCTTCGACTGTCCCAGATGAAGCCGACTTACCTAACCCGACATGTGAAAGCGGAGAGATTGGTGGCAACAAATGAAGCCTGTTTACAGTTGGTGGCTGAGGCAGTGGAAGGTCATGCTTTGCGATCAGAGAACCTCCAAGCCGGAAATCAGTCATTGGCCACCCATATGACATCATTGCCACGCTTTGGCCAAAATATGGATGTAATAATGGTGATTGGAGGGGTTTCGGAAGGTGGTGACTATTTAAGTGAATGTGTTGGATATTTTATTCATGAAGATCGATGGGTAAATTTGCCTCACATCCACAATCACCTTGATGGCCATGCAGTTATGGCTACAGACACTCATGTCTATGTGGCTGGCTCAATGGAACCTGGGTTTGCCAAGACTGTTGAGCGATATAACCCCAACAGAAATCTGTGGGAACAAGTGTGCAATTTAATCACTCGAAAGCATTCCTTTGGTCTTATGTCCGTGAAGGGCAATTTGTATAGTATTGGTGGGCATGGAAACTTCAGCCCTGGCTTCAAAGACGTCACTGTTTATGACCCAGAGCAAGATAAGTGGCAGATCCTAGAATCTGCACCCAAGATCTTACGGGATGTCAAAGCTCTAAGTGTAGAAGATCGCTATGTTTACATAACAGCTCGTACTCCAGTGGACAGTGATAATGAGGACGGGCTTAGAACAATCAACTGTAGATATGACATAGAGAGCAGTAGATGGCTGGATGTAGAATCTTTACCAATCCTGGACAATTACTGTGCATTCCAGATGTCAGTGGCATGCACAAACTTCTACAATACTGCATCATGCTGTCCTAAGAGCTATTCTGTAACTGTGGAAGAGGCTCAAAGTAAAATCTCCAGGCAAGTCTCCAATGAGATTCTTGAGAGCTTACCTCCTGAGGTCCTGGGCATAGAAGGGGCAGCTATCTGCTACTACAAGGATGATGTGTTCATTATTGGAGGTTGGAAGAACAGTGATGACATAGACAAGCAGTACAGGAAAGAGGCATACAGATATTGTGCTGAGCGCAAGCGCTGGATGCTGCTTCCTCCCATGCCTCAGCCTCGGTGCCGTGCCACTGCCTGCCACGTGAGAATCCCCTACAGATATCTTCATGGCACACAGAAGTACCCCATGCCTCCTAATCTGATGTGGCAGAAAGATAGGATCAGGCAGATGCAAGAGTTGCATCGGCATACGATGAACTTGAGACGCACTCCACGTTCCCAGATTGAATGCTAATGAAACACTTTATCTCTCCTTGGAGCCTTTCATAGATGCAATTTGCACATGAGAGCCTTTTTGTTTTCTCTTAGTTGTTTTTGAGGCGATGTACAATAATTCTAGTGAAGCACGAGGTGTTTACACAGACTGTTATCTGTAGAGTGTCAAACACTCTAATAAGCATGTTAATGTATAGGGTATGTGTGTATGTTAATACACAGCATTAAGTGCTAATGAAGCATACTTACCTAGTCTTACCTACCAGAACTGGGCAGTTAGTTGCATATAACATTCCCTCTAGTACTTGCTAGCTGATTTCCTCAGTTACAGTTTACACTGGCATCTATAACCAGGCTATTACAAGTTGTAGATATCTCAAAGAAAAACTAAATGTAGTGCTTGGTTTTGGCTTGCTGATAGATCTTAATCAGATACTGTATTTTTAATAGTAATACTTTGCAATGGGATTGCTGTAATTTATAATCTCATTAATTGGCAGCTGTAGATAAAAGGAACTGGTTTGCCCATTTGTGCCATGGAGGTATTGTTAAAAAGATGAGCCATTATGACTCGTAAGTATGAGAAGCAGCTAACTTTTGATATGAATTCCTATGGTTATAAACATTTCTTCCCTAAATTAGGGCTGTTCCCGACACTTTATTTCCATATCTTCAACTCATTCCATGCTGCATCATTATATATCATTCCTCGCCTATTAGATGCAGCAGACTTTACACATATGATTTAGATGCTCGCTTATTATTCAGAGCTTGCTAACACCATATTGGAGGCTTTAACATGTTTTAGAGGCATAGCTTAACATTCTGTATGAGGGAAACCTTTTTTTTTTTATATATTTTGTTATACTGAATTTTGTCTCATATGTCTACAAATTAACAATGTGTTTAACATCTTGTTAAATAATGTTTTTTTTTTTTGTTTTGTTTTTTTATCACACATGGCCATGCATATTTAGATTTCTTTTGGTCACAGGATGATATCTAACAGATTCCTCCATCTACATTAACGCCAGCCATACACAGATCAAACTTCAGCAGGGACCAGCCAATTTTTGATCTATCTATGGCTACTCCCATTCAAGAGAAGTTGATCTAATGATCGACTTCTCTCAAATTGGACTGTTTGAAAAATTTCCTTAGAGCGCGCCTGCAGCCATATGGCTGCAGCACTATGCAGTGTATTGAGACAATGGAGGAGTCCCTGTTGTCAGAATACAATGGCACATTAGGGAGGATTTCTCCCTCTACCTCACTTGTGTGGATGAGGAAATCTGTTTTTTTTTTTTTATCACCCTGCTGGCTGATCAAAAAACAATCAATGTATGGGTCAGCTTAAAGTATAACTAAAGGCAAAACTCTTTTTCTTTTGTTTTGAAAAGAGAGGAGATGGATTAAAACACCTGTCAGGTCTTTATTGCTGTCTGCCCCCATTAAAGCATAGTTCCACTCAAAAGTGGAAGCTCCACTTGTTTGCCTCCTCCTCCCCTCCACTGCCATATTTGGCACCTTTTGGAGGAGAGGGGAGGGGGGAGCGGATACCTGGTTTTGACAGATACCCGCTCCCACTTCCGGCTCAAATCGCCGTGGCAAAGTGAGCCGGAAGTTCGGACCCCTCCTTGATCCCACAGTCTCCTGGGAACCTTCACAGTTCCCAGAAGACTGCTGGACCAATCAGAATGCGCGGCATGCCTCGCGCATGCGCAGTGGGCACCCAGCTGTGAAGCTGCAAGCTGTCACAGCCGGGTTCCCACATTTATGATGGAGAGATGGACCGGGGAGAGAAGAGGCAGAGAAGGGACGGCGCAGGTGAGCACATCGCTGGACCCTGGGACAGGTAAGTGTGTGTTTTATTTAAAAGTCAGCCACTACAGTTTTAGTAGCTGCTGACTTTTAATAAATAAAAAACCAACTGGAACTCTGCTTCAAGGAGATTCACCCTCTCTGTCTGTCCTGTTTACCATAATTACTGAAAGTAAAAGAAAATCCCAATTTTTGGGTTGTCCCCAGAAAAGTAATAGAGGGGAAATCTTCCAATGGGGACACTAGTTCTGGTGACCTGGGGAGGCCCATGGAATTCCTCTAATTTGCAGGGATTTCCTTTCACTTCCTGTTTTGGCTATGGGACAGGAAGAGAAGCAAAATCTCCAAAATTGGACAAAGATGGCAAAAAAACTATACATGGGTTTAACCCTCCATCCAAAATGAAATTGAAAAATGTTTTGCTTATAGTTATACTTTAATAGTGTAGAATGATGAATCTCCTGCTGTGGGCTATTGTATTCTGATAGAAAAAAAATACCCAAACAGTAGCTGCAATTTATTGGATGCAGGTGCTGCTTAGCACCATTATTTACCTGGCTCCGCCAACAAAAGCTGATTGAGAAATAGTTTTTTGCCAATCTGGGTGTTGCGGACAGGGTTGCCTGTGGAGTAAATTTCATCTACCTGTAATTTGGAATGAATCCACTGAAATTGGCCAGCCTTGGGCCCTGTGCATTTTTGTATAGTATATGTGAGACTGAGCAGAAAATGCATTACAAGTTGTGTGCCGATGGAATTGTTGACTGTTTTCTTCATGCAGATCCAGTTTCATCAACTAATGGCACAGAACTTATCTTGCAATATCATGCAGTTCTGCATATATTTCTATGAAAATGGACATGTCAACAGGACCTTTAAAGAGCAGTGTTGTAAGGCCAGTGGGGAAGTAAGTTTGTCTCCTATGCTTTACCTGATCTTGGTACAATCAGATCAAAGATCAGCAGGATCCAGTTTTTGTCACAATCCTCTGCACATGCTTCCCCCATTTTTTGGAGAGGAACATATTTATGTGCAGTACTGCATATTGCTATGGAGTTGATTTACTAAAACTGGAGAGTGCAAAATCTGGTGCAGCTCTGCATGGGAGCCAATAGGCGTCTAGCTTTAGCTTGTTTGGTTAAGCTTTGACAAGAAAACCTGGAAGCTGATTGGTTTCTATGCAGAGCTGCACCAGATTTTGCACTCTCCAGTTTTAGTATATTGACCCCAAAGTGTACTTGTGCCTGGGGAAGTGCATTGTGTACAGGTTGCACAAAGTCAAAAATGGATACTCCTAACATCGCTGTTTATTCTGCTTGAGTTGCATTGATGGAGTTGATTATGAAGTTGCCACTATGTTTACATGTTTAGTGAATGGAAAGCTTCACTACTAAGGAGAGTAAACTTTTCTTCTGTATTTGGCCCACAGATAATGGTTAGTCATCTTTCCTTTTTTTTTTTTCCCCTACCTGTTGGCAGCACTTTTCCAAACATTGTGAAGACTGACAATCTACTTTATATTTACTGATGTCCACATGTCAATTTTTTATGTCTTTTTCCTTTCAAGTTATTCATTTTTTTTTTCTTTTTTGTCTGTCAGCATTTATTACATATGTTCATTCATTCTTGTCACTGCTTGTTGCACTTTAATAAGATTTGCTTTAAAGTCAAAGGGATTTAGTCTATGGCAATTTAAAGTGTGAAACTGTCTTGTCTCTGCTTTGTAAATTTCAGTTCAAAGAAGTAGTTGTGCTAATAAAGCTTTCGCACTACTAAATTGATGTGTAAGTATTCTGAGCCTGCTTGGGTTTCTTTGAGAAGTGCTGTTTAATTGCCAGTGTGATCGGACTTGTTATCCCGCTGTACTGTTCTGCGTGAACAGACTCGTGCAGAATTAGCAAACCTAACATACTAAGACATTCGTAATATAGGTTTATTTGTTTGCATTTTCTTACTTTTCTTCTTTTTTTAATTTTAAAAAAGATTGTTTTAAGAAATACATTTGACTTCATGAGAAGCTATATGGTACTTGTTTACTAAACAATGTTTTGGCAATGGTGACGTCTACTCTGCTAACTAGATCTGCTTATTATGATGAGTATCATAAAAGGGCATTTTCTTGGTTAGAAAATGTTGATGGGTTACTTATGATAGTTGTACTTTTACGAACATTTTGCAAAGTAGCACTTATGTTGTGTACTGAAAGCTACATCTAAGAAAATGCTGAACAGAGGACAAGAAGTAAAGGAGTAAAGTCATCAGGCCACTCCATACCTAAGAGGTACAGCAAGATAATGAACAGAAATGCGTATTAGTAGTATGTACTCTCCAGCGCTCCAGGGATCAAATGCCAAAGGAAGGCCAGGGGAACCAGGACCAAGGTAGCCTATGGATAGGCTTTCAGAGATGCTGCCCTCCTTATTACTTCAAGCAAGTGTGTTTTTCTTTTTTTTTTTGTGACCTTTTAATTCCAAGAGTACGATGTAGAAATGTATGGAAACATCCTGACAAGCATTTCACCTCTGATCCTACAGCCCCTTTTGCATCACTAAGGAAGAAAAAAAAAATTTTACACAAGCAAAGTGGGCTGATTATAGACATCAAAGAGAAGTGCTTAAAACCCATCTCCAGGTTCTGGTTTTCACTGTGATGCCATTAACTGCAAATGGCACCAAAATGGACTAATATATAGCAGCAGACAGCGTACTGCGTATGACATGCATGTCGGTATGCCACTTTGTAAAGGAACCACATCAGTTTTTGGCATTGTGGAGGTGCATTGGCAAATGGCACCACCACACAGTGCTGAAGTGTAAATGGGTCCAAAGCTAACCCCTCCTTTTTTTTTTTTTTTTTTTTTTTTTTTTTTTTTTTTTTAGTATAATAGTACATTTTCCTAAGAAATAACAGGAGGAGTCTGCATTACAGTGAGGACATTTTTATTTACTATAGTTTCTTTTTGGCAGACCTTTACAGTATAAAAATATTTAACCTCTTCAATCGAATTGTTTTATTAGTGTGTTCACCTTTTAAAAAAAAAAAAATAATCGTAAATGCATATTTTTTGCAGATAAAAAAAAAAAAATAAATAAAATGCACATTTTTTTTAAACGAGCCTGGAAAGGATTGCACCCGCAGTCAGCAGCCCATGGGTGCAATGCAGGGCTCTTGCAGACTGTCATTGTAAGCTGTCTGCTT